TATATATATATATATATATATATATATATATATATATAAAACTAGGAACAATTATGACCTCCTACTAATAAAGATATATATATCATAACAATTACATGTCAAATTGCATGGTTTGGGGTGTGTCATGAAGTTTGATATATATATATATATATATTAATTAATTAACTTCAAGTCTAGTCAATGACACTCTTATAAGCATTGGATTTGAAATCTAACAGACAAGAATGATTATGACCTGCTTATACCAAAAGTAATTGATCTCTCTGTATACTATTTTCATTAATAAAACTTTTGTTACTGCTAAGTAAATGCTGATTGTACTGTGTTGAAATGTATCATTGATTGCCTGTTTGACTTGTGTGCTGTACAACTGCAATAATTTTCACATTTCTTGCTGTAAATGGACTTAAAATGGATGGTAATTGTCTATCTTGTTTGTGACATTATTTAATATAGTGGAGTTTTATGCTTCGCATTCTTCCATCTCAAAGGAGTTCTGTGTAACTAGATCAGTTGTGATTAGTATAGCGCTCGTTCATTATTTTCTTTTCTTATGCTCTTTAAAAGGCATGCTTCATTTTGTAACTTGCTTTGAAATTTAAAGCTACATAACATAAATATGATTAATTGGGATTTTGGTATGTCTGCTTCATCACTGCAAACAAACATGGAGATGGGCTTAAATGTGTTAAAATGCTGTTTATTTGTTTTCTTGAAATTTTGCCAAATTGCGTTGAGCCTGTATGAGGAAATTGTATGCTGGGTAATGAAATTCAGCCCTGCTGTAACAGATTGAGAAGTGTTTCTGACCTGTTATACTCAGATGCGGCTTGTATTTCTTTTTCGCTTTTCATTTTCTTAAGGATATTTTTTTTGATAAGGCATTTTAGTCTCTACCAATTCAGCGTGGTTCATGCAGGTTCAACCCCGTTTAACATGGGTTTTTTTTGGGATTTTTGTTGTCTGATTGGTGGTCTCAACCTGTCCAAATATCCACTTGGATCTGGTCTCTGTAGCACTGTTCTAAAAGGAGGTCATCCTAGCCACAGTGGTGGGGTTTTTATTTTGTAATCAGCGAGTTGGGCCTCAGATTGATATTCAGAATTCTTCATCAATCGATTATTAGAAGCCTTGGCTTGATGATTTGCGATTTGGTGTTTTTTTTATCTATTTACAATTATTTTCGTTTGGTTACCCACTAGAGAAATTATTTTTTTCTCCTGCATTCATTTATTATTCTTTTTTTGTTCTAAAAAAAATCTTCAAAAAGTTAATGTTTTTAACTTTAACATAGGAAAAATGTTGCATGAATCTCAGAAGTCAGTTTGGAACATTCAAAAGACTAGGAGTATCTTGCTTAACTTTGTATGGGCAATTGTTAGTAAATTGATGGATCACATTTTAGTAGTCTTGAGAAATCTGACATTTACTTGACCTTTTGTGGAGTTCAACCATGCTTCATGCTGAATAGTTTTCAGAGGTTATTTTTCTAATGCTGAATGCATTAACAATGAGAATAAAAGGGTATTAGTGAAGGATGATGAGGTAAACGAAAGGTGGCAAATTTATTTTAAAAAATTAGTGACGAACAGTTTGGGAGCACAATGTTAAGAGACACCTTCGACATAAATGAGGTCGTCGGTCATGGATATGTCTGCAGGATTAGGATATCTGAAGTGGAAGAAGTTATGCGGAGGATGAAGTAGGAAAGGTTCTAGGACTAGATAGTATTCCGATAGATCTTTGGAAGTATCCTAATAGATGTTTGGAAGTGCATGGGAGAGATTGACATATTCTGGCTGATCAAGCTATTCAACATGATGTTACGAACAAAGAAAGAGGTAGACGAATAGAGAAAAAGTACCATCTTACCATTTACAAGAACAAAGGAGATATCCATAACTGTACGAACTATTGAGAGATCAAACTTATGAGCCATATTATGAAGCTGTAGGAGAGAGTGATTGAGCAACGAACTAAGACATGAAACCAGTGTATCAGTAAATCAGTTCAACTTTATGCCAGGGATGTCAACAGTTGAGGCTATTTTCCTACTTAGGCAATTAATTGAGAAGTTTAAGGAGAAGGAAAGTGACCAAGTATTGGTCTTAATTGATTTAGAGAAAGCATACGATAAGGTACCTAGAGAGTTAATTTGGTGGATGTTGGAAATAATGGTGTCTCTAGAGGATATATGGATGTGCTGAGAGATATGTATGAGGGAGTGTAGCTAGAGGACAACTAGTGGAGAGACAAATGGGTTTTCAGTAATAATACGCCTATATCAGGGGTCAACATTGAGCCCATATCACTTTGTTTTGGTCTTAGATGAGTTGACTAGGCATCTACTGGATGAGGTACCATGATAAATATTGTTCATAGATGACAGTTTTGATTGATACGACTAGAGGTTGCGTCAACGCAAAGTTCAAACTTTAGAGGGAGGCTCTAAAATCTAAAGATTTTAAAATTATTCAAATTGAAATAACATAAATGGAATGCAAGTTTAGCAATAATAGGAGTAGAAACGAGTAGGTACCTAATATGTATCTTGGGTCGATAATCCAGGGGAATGGCGAGATTGAGGATGATGCCGTGCATATAATTAGATCTGGGTGGGCCAAGTGGAGATGTGCATCCGGTGTTGTATGTGATCGCTCACATACCAATGAAACTAAAGGGAAAGTTTTATACGACAACTGTAAGACCAGTCATGCTTTATGGGATGGAATGTTGGATGTGGAAGAAACAACGTATCTATAGGACGAGTGTAGTTGAGATGAGGATATTGAGTTGGATGAGTGGCAAGACAAAAAAAGATAGAATTCATAATGAATACGTACAAGGAAACTTAGGGGTAGCTTCAATAAGCGATAAGATAAGAGAAAGTAGATTTATGGATTGGTCGCGTGCAATGTAGACATAATATAGCACCAGTTAGGAGGAGTGAGTTGGTTCAATTGGAAGGCTCTAGGATAAGGGGAAGGCCCATAAGGACATGGATGAAAGTAGTGAGAAGAGATATGATAGCTTATGGTCTGATTGAGGGCATGACCCTTAATAGAGTAGAATATCGGAACATGATTCATGTAGCCGATCCCAAATCGTTGGTATAAGGCTCGGATGATGACGATTATGATGTTTCTAATGCTCCAAAGGAATTCACACTCTTCTCTCAATAGTTAGGGTGTTGAAGGCCACAACACAATGGCTCATGGACAATCCAACTAACCAACTCAAAACAAAATTTTATGTCGAATAATCTTTTGTAGATTTTGATGATAGCAATGTGGAGAAGTGTCTTTTAATTCTTTTGGGGGATGGTTGATTATTGGTGTAATTTCCAATATGCACTCATTAGTTTTGTTACTTGCCAGTACTTAAATGATTCTGATTGGTGACTGAGATAACCTATTATTGGCACATCACCATTTAAAATTAAGTTATTAAAGTACCATTCTTTTTTTATCAGTGAAGTTATTGTGAATTGCTCTATCATTGATTTTGCTTTGACACTTTTCTTCTCTTTTAGGTGATCAAAGCAGTTACTGCTATGCTTAGAACTGCATTGCCTGGTTGTGATGATGGTCCATTTCGTCAGGTTTTTAAGGCTTTATATCCTGGGCAAAAAGAAGAAAAAAAGAGGGTCTGTCTTGATATCTTTTGACTCCTTTTCTTTTTTATCTTTTGTTGCTAAAGCATTTGGCTACTAATTCATTGCCATAGAAAATGTTATCAACACTCTTTCTTTAAATTATGACCTTAAAAATAACCCCTTGCAGATCATTGATTACATTGACAAAATATCTACGTCTAGAAAGTGCAGCTTCTTATCGTCTGCAAGTGATGCTTTCAATGCAAAGATCTCGGGCATTTTCAGCAGGTATTCATCCGTTATTCTCTGAAAATTTGATCAAGATCATCACGTCATTCTTTGTATCCAGTGCTTTAAGTCTTTGATGCTTTTAGTGGGAAATTTGGTTTGGCTTCATCATGTCACGAGTGGTTTTCAATTATGTTGCATAGACAAGTATACTTGTGCAAGTGTCTGACATGAGGTACTGGGCATTCGATTCCTCATCGCATGACAAACAAGAACCTGCTAGACAGATATATTATAAAGAGATAATAATCTGCAATATTATTTATGAATATTCTATTCATGATGACTAGTCCAAAATAATTTAATTATGCATTGGTTGAATTAATATGTTTTACACAGTCCAAATGTGTCCACTCAAAACAAATGAGAATATTGCAGTTCAAATTGATGATGTTGTCAATGATCACTGAACTAGAGGAATCAAAAGAACATGTTTCGAATCGTGTGTTAAAATGTGTCCAGTATGGGCATGTCACCCAAACAAAAGAATCCATGTAACATTGGCTTTTGGGTTACCTTTTTCTTATTTTTCTTGTTTTGGATTCTCACTGAATCTTTAACCTCTTCCCTGCGAAACACACCAAAATAAAGGAAATTGGTTTTGGGGCTTCGTCTAATGTGAATCAAATCTATGTTGACATTAGTTTTGCTTTTTTATAGACATTTTATATTGGCTCATTATCATTTGGACTTCATGTTGTGAATTACTTTGTCTTAGTCCTCGTGATTCTAATCTAAGTTATTTTTGATAATTTCCTGCTACGTTAACTTTATCTTCCTCTGTTGGCTTTCCTTCTTCAAACCTTATCATAGTTGGAGCATACTGCATGTATACTTACAAGTGTTGAATTGCATCTTGGGGTATTTGTTGATCCATATTTGTAGTTCTGCTGGATCAGGCCCTGTTCTTTTACGGAAAACCATTTATGGACTTATTTTTACTTCATGCAGAAGTCAACTTGCACAAGGGCGGAAAGTGTTATTTGCTTTAGACATGATATCCAAACTTGTGGGCAAAGTAAGAAAATTTCTTGGTCTGCTGTCTGTGACAAATGTGATGCCTGGTTGCCCTATGACAGCAAGAAAAAAATGTTATTTGGAATAGTTTAATCAAAGATGCTCATCTTCTGTGCTAAGCTAGCTCATCACTGCTACTTTTGTGGTGAATAGAGTGGAGCTTGGTGTTGATTGCTGTTTCTTCTGATGCACTTTTCTGCTGAATATTGCAATTCCTTGCGATTTAATAAACAGTGTTCTAAAATTTTGGCAAGTCCACTTCGACTCGTACAAGTTAAGGCTAGGCCAAGGTAATTGGACTCTGCAATGCCAAGTTTGTAAGGAACTGCCCAACTTCAGTAGTCAGTTCCGATAAATTTTTATTGTTTTTTTGTACTGACTTGGTCGAGCCTCTACAGATAACTGGACATTGGGACCTTGCTGAATCCCAAGTCCGAGATTAATGAGCATTGGTTTTAAATTATAACTTCTCTTGCAATGAGTATATGACATTTAAATGTGTTCTTTATAAGCTAGAGCTGGACCCCATGTTGCACTACAATGGATTTCTTCTTTTCCAATGCTTTGAGACTAGTATATTTGATCATGATCATTCCCTTTAAATATTTGAGAAAATGCCTGACATTTGGAGTGAGGAAGAAAGCAGCGAAAAGTGTTTATGTGCCATTACTGATGTTTAGTTATTTTTGGGTAAAATAGGAAGCGTGTTTCAAGTATTGAGGTCTTGCAGGGTTTCCAGCAAGGTATGACACCTTTGTTTGCCTTGGGCAGAGTTATAGTAAGTGCTGAGGAATGGAAACTGCTGTTAAGAGGATTTTTGCAGTATGGAGATGTGTGCTTATCATTCAAATTCTGAACCTTGTGGCAGAGATAAGAGTTCTGTATGTAGTGTGTGAGCTGGTCCAACGTTTCTTATTTCTGACCAAAGTGTCGGCTACAATTTGGGTCATTTCTTAAATTAAGCACTAGTAATTTCAGGAGGATTCTTCTTCTCATTGCCATCCATTTCTTCCATCTCTTTATTTTTTTGTGGTTAGGTTGTTTACCTTTTTGAACTTAACTTCCCCCCCCTCCCCTTCTCCTTAATGGTGTACTAGATGGATGCATTGATAAAATAGGAGAAACATCATTTGTTTTGCAATCCCTGCAGCTTTTGATGTGTTGGCAATCAGTGCAGTTTTGTACATTTTGCAAAATGTTCTTATTGAACATTGGTAGTTCAATTCAATACTTAACGTTTTGTCAAGGAAGTGATTCTTGGTGTACCCTCTTCTCACAGGAGCAATCTTTATCGACGGTGCTCACATCAGTGGCAAATCTATTACCTCAGGTTTCGTTCCCATCTGTTTAAACAATTCTCACATTAGTGGCTAACATATTACTTAATTTTCTATGGATTAGCCATTGGGCATATGAATGTGAGTGCTGTGTTGTTAGACATGTTTCTTGGTCACCTATTTGTATGCATGTGCATATGTATTCTATTGCTTTACATGGGGATCTCATGGTTTGGTTTTTTGTATAAGCTGCATTGGATGTGCAAATTTCTTGAATGACCGTTCATTTACTTACATTATCAAAAAAGGTGTATTTTTCACGTAAAAGAACCTTGTATCATGTTTTCTTCAGATCTTTTTCTTTAGTTTGGCAAATGCGTAATTTACTGGTATCTGAATATTGTGTAAATGACGAAGCAAGTGTTTTCGATCGCATGGTTCACCCCACTATATTCAAACAACTAAGTTATCGAGGAAGATTGGTGGCCCATAGAATTTGTCGTCTCCAATGGTTAGGTGAGTTGTTGTAGAGTTTTGGTAGTGATGAGGGCATCATAGCCTTCCATGGACAATTTACTTTAATTTTATTAAGGGTTTTAGTTTATTTTTGTTCTTATTTTATATAGTGAAAGTCAGGGTTCTTTGAACTTTTGATTATTTTAGTTTGGGTTGGGGGGGGGGGGGGGAGGGTATTTATCTTTTAAGTGTTGTAGAGAATTCAAGGGCAGATTGGTCATTTGATTTTTTTTATATTTTAGTTAGAAAAGCCAGTATTTTTGTAGCAATTTTATATGTGAGGAGAGTGTGGGACGTCCAGCCCATAAAATGTTATTTTGGAGAATTTATTTTGTGAAGAAAGAAACCTTAGCAAGGGCTTATTCAAATCTTGATTGAAGGCCATAGAGAAGGCTTCATAGCACCTCTCATTGTCCCTCCCTCCCAAGTTACTCTTCAATTTCTTTCTCTTCTTAATTATTTTCTTTCGTTGTTCTCCTTTCTCTCCTTCCTTCCCTTCTTCTTTATTCTTTCTTTTTTCCCCACCTTAATGCCCTTTTCTTTCCTTTATTTCGTTCCTTTCCTGCTTTCTTTCCATTCTTTCGTCTCTTCCCTAATTTTGCATATAAAAAAAAACTAAATTTTTAATATTATTGTACACTTGGCTCTTCTCTCTTGGGTGTAGTTGAGTTTTAAGTTTGATGCGGATCGGCTTTTTTTCTGCTGATTTTGTTTAAGGATTGATTACAATCCATTGCAGAAATCTCATCAATTAATTAAAATAAGTTTCCAAAATTGCATGTTGACTTTGCGAGTTTTTTTACTCAATATTGTGGGTAATAACCTGTTGAACTTGTAGTTGATTAGCCTTAGTTTAACCTAAAGGTTTCAAAAACACGTTTTAGACGATTATAATCAGAGATTAGCAAGTGGCTGATTGTTGGTAACATCATGGTGTCAGCTTCTATGTTTGCTTCTATTAGGCCATTTTCCTCATCTATTATATGTCATATGTGAGGTGTATAATGTTGGGTACTGCAATTGACCCACCATAAGTTTCACTACTCTTTTCCTTTAAAGTTAGTCATCATATGAAGATTGTTATAAAACTTATTTTTGTTAATATTTATTAAGATTATGTTTTTAGTTCTCACCCAATATGACTTGCTTCTATGATCAAATTCATTGATCTAATGAACATATTTGTTGATCTAAATTCGAAAAAGAATAAAAATATATAGTTGAAGATGTCTCCTAGATATATAAAATCCTTCACCTGATGTAAACTTTTTTTACCCTAAAAAATTTTTGGTGTCCAGGCGAAAACTTTAATGATATTGCAACACTGTGTATATGGAGAAGTGAACAGCATTCAGATTGATCCTATTTCAACAATAAGATTAGTGAGCAAAAGTAGGAGAGGAATTTTTTTCATTCTTTCCTTGTAGTTGACCATGTGAAGGTTCATGAATGCACACAATTACACACTTTAGTGTATTTAGATTTTCATATATTGCATCTAAAAACAATGCCACCTTTTATATATGCATACAAAGTAAGCACATATGCACATAGTACTTCCACAAAATGGTGGCATTTCCGTATGTAATAGTTATTTCTTAAGACACCCTGAAGTGTTCATTTGTTTTGGATTGTGCGTGCGCGCGCGCTGTTTTGCCTTGGCAGAGTATTTACTTAAGTAGCACGCTCGGGAACGTTTTTGCTTGTTGATTATGTCTTGTGTGATGTTAAATTTTGCAGAGGTACTTATTTGAACAACGTGCAGTAATTGATACAGATGGTAGTAAATTGTTAAATGAAGATCATGACCTGAGATCTGTAAGTTTGTGCTCTTGCTTGCTTGCATACTTTTAACTTCAAATGTTTTTAAAGGAATCCTTGAGTTTTTTTCCCTCTTAAGCATATTTATCTGTTGAAATAGTGAACAAAAATATTCCATTGTGTGGGCTAAAAGAATGATGACCCACTTGCTTTCTTTTCTATAACTTTTGAATGGAAGCCAAAGAAAAGTAAGGGTTAGATCCTACCCTCCTCATTTGCCAGGAGAACATGTGGCTATTGCCCTCCTTTTTGTTGGAAGGGGCAACAAGGTCCCTCTTTACTTCTGTCTTATCGGATATTTTGGTGAGGTAAGGATTTTTTTTTTGGGCGGACCATTTACACTTTACGTTTTTCACAATATTGCAGGTCCTTCAATACTTATTAGATGATGTGTCTGATTTTCTATCTACACATGGCACAATCACTAAATCGCTGCAAGATGGCTTACCTATTCTACATGGATGTGGTCCATTACTGAAGGCATTTCTTGATTATATTTCTTCAAGAGAAGCGGAGAATTTTCGATCACGTCGGAGTGATAATGAGAACTCAGTTAGTTTGACTACGATTCATCAGGTCATCCTTCAGTGCAGGCAGACTTTGCTCTTTTGCTCCCAACTTTTGTTCTGTTTGTGTGAAGCTTACTTCTCATTCTAACCATGGGATTCTTTTGCAGTCTAAAGGTCTGGAGTGGGATACTGTATTCATTATTAAGGTATAAGAGTTTACTTGATTGATCCTTGAATATATTTCTTGTAAATACAGCAGCCGTCTTCTTACTCTCTATGTTTTTTGTTGAAATTACAATACCCATTTGTATATCTTGTGTACTACTTTTATGCCATTGTATCATTCTATGTAAAAAATTGTTTGCCACAAATGGAGCCTTCAAACTATAAGAACTGTTTTTTTGCTTCATATTGTTAATTGAATTGGTTGCAAGATTATAATATTTTAAAGTATGTTATTATTTGTTTTGTATGTCTATATGTCTTTGTGCTTGTATATATGATCCAAGTTCTCTCATAATGTATGAAATATGTATTTATACTATTGCAACCCATCTTTGTTTTTGCTCTAGTAGTCTATAATTTTGTATTATTGCAAATCAAATGTGTAAAAAACCATTATGAGTAACAGGCCATTGTAATTGCTTGTCCACCCAAATCTTTTTGTAGTTTCTTCCTTTCTTAAGTTTCTTTCTTGATGTGGGAATTATTTGTGTTCTCTTTCTGTTGAATTAGTTTCTCTTGTTGATTTTAAGAACATATCTTCTGCAGGCAAATGAGACTGAAATTCCTTTGTTGAATGAATCTTGCGGCGTTCTCAGGGATGGAGCAAACTCTCTTGAGGTTTTCTATCTCTGTTGCTTTTAGCAAGCTTTTATTATTCCTTTCTGATGAACCTTCTTATTTTTTTAGTTGTTGGGCTTGGGCTTGAGTGGTTGGCAGCTGACGTTTAGCAGCGTTACGTCTCAAGTTCAATTCCTACTACCAAACTGCCCCATAAAAGACACATTCTTATGCTTAGCTTTGCTCTCTTTCTCATGGCAACATCCTTAGGAGGAACGACGACTGCTTTATGTGGCAATGACTCGTGCACGCAAGAAGCTCTGCATTTTGTATGTTTTAATGGATATGAATCAACAGGTTGTGGTTGGAGACCTTTGCAAAATTAAATTGATCTAGTAACTTGTTTTGCTTGGTTTCTTCTCCCGCTTTTGACTTGTAACATAATAACTTTCAGTTGTTGCAACCATCACGGTTTCTAAAAGAATTTCCAGAACATCTTTTGGAGATCCAGGTTGGTGATCATTCGTTAGGGTTATTTGTTATCTTGATAGTTAGAAATTTTGTCATGGCTACTTTCTTTTTAATGGTTTGTTGGTTAATTGAACTTGTATCTGGTACTCTTTTATACTGTGAGTCATATGCAAGTTGCACAACTTCTATTCAGATCCATAACAAACTTAATATTACATATGGAAAATCGGTGATCCGAATTGGAATTGCCCAATTTGGATAAGAAATCCTCCAATCCGGTTCCCACAATATATTGGGAACTTGCCATGTTCCCCCTGAACTGGCCGGTTCGGACCGGTTTGTTCCGGTTCTTGACCGGTTCTCTCAATAAACGTCCAGTTCCACCAAGGACCGATTTTTCTTCGTAGATTTTGGACTTTTTAACTTTGAAATTTTCAAAATTTTAAATAAAAAGTGGGCATGGGCAGTAGACAGCCCACCCCATATTTGAATTTGGGAACACGTATTCCAAACCCCACCACATGTATTGTTCCTTATGCAATTGGCCCCACCCATTCCAGGTGTTAATGGCTTCAAAGGTTATCCAATCTTCACTTTAGAGTGAGAAAGCATCGTCTTTATACAACTCATCGTGTCCCTAAATCCCTGATGTGGGACATTTCTTTCTCCTTTATTACAGCTTCTTTTACGAGGGACATAAACATACTATAATATATGTAATAAAATATCAACACTAGTGGATAAGATAGCTATTGTATATATCTGGTATTTTGTTCACATGGGGGGATATTTTTCTTGGTTGTGTTTATATCATACAATGCATATTTTTTTTCATTTAATCCTTATCAATTGATTTATTTGTTGCTGGTGAACATGTTGAAAGTTTATGTCACCTATGATTTTTATCTTTTTTTTTCTTTACGACATTGGTATGTATGACCAATATATTTTATGTGTTAATTGATTGATAGAATGTGGATAACAATGACCATGTGATTGGTATTGCTAAAAATGAAATACAATTTTTGCATCAAATCAAAAACCACCTGAAAATAAATTAGATAATATGTAAATTTAGAAAAACAGAAAGAAAGCTTGATGCATTTAAATTTCTAAACTCGAGGAAATTGCATTTAAGTTTTCAACGAACTCAAATCATCTTCAACATTTTATTTGGATCTTGTAGTTGCCTATGTTTCTCTTCTGAGGGCCATAACCAAAATTGATAGAGAGGGAGGTTTTCTAAAATTGGAATTTTAGAGTTTGAGAACCCTAAAATATTCAATAATCAACAGACATCTAGATAGGAAAACATCTTATATTTATGTATTTTTGCAAAATAATTAAAGTTACAAAATTTACGAACCCCAGTTGTTTCCGAAACAAATTTTTTTTTTTGTGGGAATTTTAATGATTTTTGAAACTTTTTTTGAAGCCAATCTGACTGATTCTCGAATCCAGGGCATCGATCCACCGATTCGACATAGTTTTTGGTGTGGCCGATTTGTGTTACTGATCCATTTTTCTAAGCGTTGTTACATATGATGGGAGACTGGAGTGCTACACAAAAGTAGAATATTTCTTTTAATATGTAAAACAATCAATTTCACTTGTTGCACAAAAGTAGTATATTTCATATAATATGAAACAACCTATCTTTACTAGTTACTACCTTCTTTAAGCTTGGTATCATTCAAATTTCTTTGTTCTCTCCCTTTTTATTCCATGCTTATTTGAGGTTTACTTAATAATAGTTTTTTCCGATTGGTGATCAAATTAGTAGTGCCTACTGAGAGTTGTTGCGCTAATTTTAGTTGTTTTTTCTTGTTGTTTGGATTGTTTTTTATTATATACATTTTACCTGCTAGGATTTAGACTGAACAAGATTTCATGTTGATCCTTTCTTTACAAGTGTCGACTTCTTGTTTTTAGGTTGAGTCATCATGGGGAAGAATGCATCCATGTTCTATTCCCAAATGTGCTGCGAAAAATGAATCTTTAAACTGTGAAGAATCGTTGCCAACAGATTTGGAAAAGAATAAGTGTTCTACATTGGGGAACGAACTTATTTTAATTAATACCAACAATGAGATAGAGGGATGCCTTGGCAATAGTTTTTTAAGAAGGTATGTACTTAATGTGGAGTTCGATACAATGGATGTGTCATCAAGACTCTCTGAGTCTTCTATGACGATATTTTCATGTGTTTTGGTGTTTTCCATCTGCCAATTTCATGTTTTTACATGGATTTTTTAATTGTCCTTCTAAGGTTTAAGGTGGAGGATCGATCAACTGTATCAAATGTGTTCCATTCATGGGCAAAAAAGCAAGCATTTCAAGACCCAAGGAGGCTGCTTGACAAGGTGTCTACTTTTGTAATCTATCGACCATTGAATCATTATTTTTGGTAGTTATATGTTTTGGCTCAACGATTTATGTTACTTGCAGTCATGTTGTCGTACTTCCACTTATTGATCTTTGTGGTTCTAGCAAAATGTGGGGGATCCTTCATTTTGTTTAGTAGTATCTTAAAACCTTGATTGTTCATCATCTTTTTTTTTTTTTGCAAAGATAGATAATTTCCTTTTAAGTGCGGACCATTATTTACGTTTACTTTGGCAACACTTAGGTTGGATTTGTCATTGATGAACGTCTTCGGAGTAAGGCATGCAAAAGCAAGGTGATGGAACTCTTGTCATGTATTTTTTATTTTTTTGTTGAATTTTGATTAGCTCTTTGAAGTATTGAATATCTTGACCATTGTTAACAAAGGTTTCTATCGGTAGACATGATGATAACTATAACAAAGAATTGAGTTTGAAAGGCCATATCATGGATATTGCATGGTGTATTGTCTCTCTCTAAGGCCCTGTAAACCCTAATGTAGAAACCTTTTGAAAAAGTTGTGCATTTATTCATATAATTCTCACTACTCTCAATGTTATTTATGTACAAGAAAATGTTTGGGGCATTTTACTTATGGGTGCAATTTGTATAGAGCCAAGGCTCTAAACAATCAAAGTAATGCACAACTTCAAATAGTGTCGAGAAATGTAGTTTCAATACTGGAAATCTTTGTGATAGCCTTAAAACATATTTTCATCTTTAATTATAAAATTTAAAGCTTAGAAAGTGTAGATCGAGCATATCTATGAAGACTTGAAAATCTTGAAAATTCACGCTCCAAAAATGTGTTACAAAATGTACTGTTTTCAAAACTTGAAATTCATATTTTGGTCATATCCTTACATCTTGATGTCGAGATGATCTATTTGAGGACATTTGGGAATCAAAACAACTTCTTGTAGTGAAATTTTTGAGGTGGGCTCTAATTTGATATTTTAGAGCCTCAGCTCTATATAAACTTTTTTCTTTACTTATTGTTCTTTGTTATTATATGTTGCACATTAGAGGTACTTGACCTATTTCAGTTTATTTGTTGGGAGTGATTTCATGTGACTGTGTCATTGTAATTTAATGAAAGCACGCTTCTAAAAAACCTTGTAGCATTTTTTTGACCCCAAATTTACACAGGCACTCTCTTCATCCCAACAAGTAATCCCCAGAAAATAAAATTCAATTTAAAATGAGTCCCCCTCTAATTATATTAGGCCGTCCATGTGGTGAATTTTGAGGTGTAGGCCTTTATGAACTCAAAGCGAATATATATTTTTTAACATTATTCATCTAATGATAACAAAGCCACATAAAAAATTTGGAAAACTGAAAAGGTCCTTTTACCCCTGGAGACCCCAAAAAGGTTAAAAAAAAGCTAAAAAACATAGGGACATAGGAAAAATAGAATAGGAGAGAAGTTAAAAAAATTACGAACTGTGTACAAAAAAAATAAAAATTGAAGCTAATCCAAGCTTAGCCAACCCCCATTTTGGTATTCAAACTCTTGCAAATCCAAGATTTTGAAGATTCTTTTGGGTGAAATCTAAGCTTGGATTTGATAGAGACCCACATAAATAGGCTAGGAGACAAATTTTAAACCCAACCATGGATTTTGTTTGATCTCAGCATAAATGATGAAGACAATGAAAGAAAGGAGGTTCGGAATTTACCCATCCCTCTGTTTAGATAAAAGAAGTGTTGGACCATGAGTCTTTGTGGACTCATCCAAGTCCACTGAACTCACCCAAGTGCGACAAACGCTTGCCCTAGGTACTGTAAGAATTTGGGAGAGTACTGCTACTGTATAAGTCCCCAATTATTTGGGGTCCTTCTAGACTGGGCAGAGGGTCTGAGCATCTTGACCATTTCCAATTCAAATTTGGTGAGTTTTTGAACACTTGTAGCCAGGTGATGGTGCGCTTGAGATTCTTGGATGTGAACTGCTGTTGTGGGGAGCAAATCATCACAAACCTCTTTCCGACCAGGGAGTATCATAATCAATTTCTTGATTATGCCACACCATATGCATGTTGTTTTTTGAATACTACCCCTCAAGCTACACATATAAAATTTACAATGCCTATAGTTTACTCATGAATCATACATCCACAAAACACATTATGTTTTCTTTATTTAGTAATTCTTTGGCATTATACCAAACTGTGCTCACAAACTCATTTTGAGTTTCTGCAACTTATCTGAGTCAAATGGGCTCTCAAGGTCCCTGAGTTTTGCTATGAAAAACTTGGGCTTGGTTGAGTTCTTTGATTTTCTAATTAAATATGATGGAAATAAGAGTGAAACGCATTGGGCTTTTGTGGTAGCATGAATTTCACTATTTCGATTTGGTTTCAAATTTGAATCGTACGGCTGAAATACAATTTCTTTCTCCAATATTGAAAAACTTGCCTAGTTTTTTGTCCTTCTAGGTTTGAAATCATCTCTACCTCTCCCCTTCTTTTCTCGGTCCCACGCCCAAAGAAAAAAAAAAAAAAATTTTCCTGATTTGAAAAATGTCAAAATTTATGTAAAAGAAAAAGAAGAAAAAAAGTTATAAGGGAGGTCCTTCGAAGACAATCTAATATAAAAGAAAGACTGCACATTAGGGGTGAGTTTTTCCTTGCTAACCACATTCTATACTTGCTTTAAAGGTTTATTTGGGATTGCTCTCTTGATTTCTACTTTTAGAAGTTGCATTCCATCCTCAAAATCTTCTTGTGCAAGTGTTGTTTGTTTAACAAAATGCTATTATCATGATTCCTTGTTTATTTCCTCTCCTAAATAGGCTTATGGACTGGCTTTTGATTTTCTTTTCATGCCCAAGTCAATGTTGATTTCATGATTTCATGATTTCATGTTGTAGATATGATATGATGATGGATAATATTTAAAGGACATATGATTCAGTTTTTTCTAGTGTATCACTCAATTTGTTTAGCAATTCAATTCTTGTTATCATATAGGATGCTTTGCGATCTTTAAAGTCATCCTTGAGGTGTGACGAAGCTCTTCAATTTGCCCAATATGTAAGTTTATTTCAGTCTATAAGAAGGCGATTGAGACATGGTTTGCATATTCATTGTGTCGAACAAATCGGTTGTCAATCATTGAAAATATATTTCTACATAGGTTTTGAGATGGGAACAAATTCCTCCTGATACACGTGCTCAACTAATGAGAGAAAAACAGGTAAAGTTGGTGCTTATTCTCGTATTACAATGGTTGGTTTGGATTGTGGAATATTATGCTCTATCCTTTCCAAAATTTTGTAATATTGCTGTTTCTAGAACCTTGATTCATGGCTAGCTGATTCTCATTAAACACTGTGCATCATGTGCCAGCAAACACATGACTTCATATCCTCGTTTAACACTTGTGCTTCCAAATGCACCCATTCCATGAAATTATTGCCTATTGCCAGCAAGGGACCTTTTGAGAATCCAGAGCAAACTCGCTTTCATTTGCTCATTTTTCATTTACAAAGAAATTGCGAATATTTTGTATACTGCAAATTCAAAGAGGTTGAGTCTAAAACAACCTGTATGGATTTTAGTCTACAGCTGATACTAGTAACTATTCCTCTTAATATATGACTATTGGATTATGCTAGAAATCAGATCTTGAAATTTGTCTTTCCTTATTTTCCCAGGAACACTTTCAAAAGCAAAGGATTGAGAAGTCTATGGATGCGTCTGCTGCATCGACCAAGCAGGTAACAGTTATTGAGTATTTGAGTACGCCATTTTGTAAGGATATTCTATTCTGTGATAAATGAGAAGCAATTTTTTTATTTGAATTTACAAAGTATAGTGGATAACGTTTCTTTGTATTGGATTCCTTGTGCTCATTTGCAACAATGTCCAAGCAGGTATGGTCTTCATGTTTGCTCAGATAATATTCTGATTTATGAAGATGAAAAATCTTCTGATGATTTTTCCTTTGGCTAATTTAGAATTTTCTGCTTTGAATTTGCAAAATCATCCAGGGATACGGTTCTTCCCCTTGAATTTACCATGTCTTAGGCTACTGCAAATGAGGTCCACAATTGTTTTTGTCCAAAATTGTGTTATAAAATGTGGACTATTATGTAGAAGTTATGCATGAATTGAATTATTGGGTATTGACTAATTAGATACTATGCATAGGCTTCCATGGCTGGATATGACTTTCCTGGGCCAACCATTATATTATTTTATGTTACGTTCTTTAATGTGTTGTGTGTACCTCTTTGTTCACACAATGATCTCTTCATTCCCTTCCAAATATTGTCTCCACTAATCTTTTCTGATTTCTCTCATTATGTATTTATTTTCTTTTGCTAAGAATTAACAACTTTGCACCAACTGGACAGTGATATTAATACAAAGTTTGATTGGCATCTTCTGAAAGTTTCAACTCCACACATACCAAAGATGCAATCCCAGATCTTAAATATATTGCATCATATTTTTCGTTCTCCTCTTTACCTCTCCTTGTGTTCAAGTTGCTGTTTTTTGTTTACTTATTAAAGTAGGGTTTTGAACTTATATACTACTGAAAGCTCCCAATGAAGTTTGTGGGTAAACTTATCAATAATACAAGTTTGTCTGTTAACCAAAATATGTCCAAGTTTTATATATAGTACTTTTATGCCATATATTATATGTTTAATTTGATATATCATACATATTATACATTTAAATAGTTGACACATGCATGAATTGGTCAGTATTTGTATTTTTTTTTTTTGACGAAAAAAAAAAAAAAACTCAAATACTGACCAATTCATACATGTGTATTTTCTTAGAGTATTTTGGTAGTTGTATTTGTAGGAGTTAGTGTTTTATTATTTGTTTTGTCATTCATTGAGTCAATACTTATATACTAGTGATGCATGCGTACTTGTATATTATTAACTCTGAGATTCTGTTGTAATAGATGAATATATGCAAAAATTTATCAAAAAGGAAAATAAATCTGAAAGTTGCCTAAGAGCTCTGAGTCCATTCGATTCTCCTTTTGATCATTTCCCATTCTTCTTCATCATTTTGGTGCTATTTATTACTTTATGCAGATTGCTTATCTTCAGAAATTGGGATGTACCATTTTACCGACTTCTCGCCTCCATGCATCTCGTTTGATTGAGCAATACAAATCTCTCTAAGGATGTGATTAATTGTTACCTAGCTAGGCGTTTCAAAGCTTTCCATGTATTTATTTATATATTGTTTAATTTCAAATCATATATGCTACATAGCATATACGGAGTAATAATGTCATAATCAAGTCTCAAAAAAGAGTTCGGCAAAGAATTGTTGCAGGGTGGATAGAAAGTTGAAGTTATCATCTTTCGAGTATAACTTGTACAAGGAATCTTATTTATTTCCCTTGTGTTAAGAATGCCTTTGGGAACGCTTTAAAACATATTTACTGGGCGTTGCACTTTACTTCATCGTGGTCAATGCTGGATGTTTGGGATTTGGAGTTCCAAATGGTTTCTTGAAATAATCTAAAACAGCACAAATAAGTGGTCGTTTCTACATATTGTATTAGTAAAAAGTTTGTAGAGACTGGTTTGTATGAGGTCTCTACCTTGAAATGTAGAAGTAAGGTGCACCTCAAAAAATCCATCAAAAAAGGTTATTTTGACAATGGAAAACCTTTTAATTGATCATCTCGACTTTGAGACATGTGAACATGAAATAAAACATATTTCAAGTACCAAAAAAAGTGCATCCTCTGGACCATCATTTTTCAAGTTTTTTTATATGTTTATGGATCAAATCTGTTTGATATGAACCATTTTTGGAGTTTAAAAATTAATACTTAGAGATGAAAATATCTTTTCAGACCATCTGAAGAATTTTCAACATTAAACTTACAATGGTTTGGAGGTGTGACCGTCATTCTAAAAAAAAAGAAAGAAAAAAGGGTTTGGATGTGTGCTTTAGTTGTTTAATGTTGGAGCCTTGTGCAAATCACAACCTTTATTTTATAAGATGTGGAGATTTTTTTTTTTTGTATTTTACTGTAAGGCTAAGGCATCGGAGTGCTTCACATAATGCAAAAAGTCAAAGGGCGTAATGTGGAATAACCAATCCCAATTGAGCGTCACGATTTGAAAGATTTGTATTTGAGATATTTCAACATAGTTGTGAGATATTTCAACATAGTCGAACATCCTGTAAGCAAAGTTAATGTAAAAATCGTTTGATGTATTTTTGGAGGACAATGTCTTATTTTGTATTCCTATGGTAAATAATAATTCAGCGAATGATCAAGGTACAGGATGCGTTATGGGCTCAAGATCAACGCCTTCACCATTTAATTTAGGGGAAATATCATTAAAGGGTATGAAACCTTTTGCTATATCATCAAAGGAGTCAAAATTTTTCTAGTTAGATTTGAGGGTATATTTTCTTTCTTTGTTTCAATTAGATATCTGTTCAATAAAAAAACATTAAAATACTTAAATTGCCCGATACTTGGAATGTAGAACAATCCTGGATATTTTTGTAATTCTAAAAGGCTTCCACTGAATACCAAAAATACTCCTACTTGTTTTGTATACACTAATCAGTATTAGAAATGCTGTAACAACTCGAAGTTTTTTTTGTTGTCATTCTACACAAACTCTCTGCATGTATCAAGTTACAAAATATCCTTTTGTTCTTCATTTTTATTATTGAACAATGTTCCTTATTTGAAGTGCCTAACAATTAGGGGTATTTTTGTTATTTCGTTGAGAATAGGTTAAAATTATAGAAATGCTTATAATTGTTCGGCCTTTAAATGCTGTTATTTTAAATACCAAATAATGGCAATGTAGGTATTTTAATTTTTTTTATTTACAGTAAAAAAAATAAAAATATATTTTAATGATATTGTAAGGGATTTCATGCTCTTTAATGACTTTTTCCCTTTAATTTAGGTTTATTTGGTAATTTGCTTATGGAGGGAGTTCACCAACTTTAGGTTTATCGTGTTGGATAGTAAGATACAAAGTTGAAGGGAATGATGATTTGGATAATAGTTTTGCTTGACCTAAGCATTTGGGCGTATGGAAAAATTGAATGATTTGATATATAGAAGAGGAATATATAGTCGGAAGATAATTCCTTTCATAGCTTTAACTTGATATAATACAACTAAACTTACTCGACCCTCTTGGTGCAAATAGAAACAAGCATAACGATTGGGCCAGGGTATCTGACGAAGGGTGAGGTTTGATAAAGGCGTCCGCTTTATACCAAATACAAGTAAAGTACACTCTAAAATTTTCGGAAGATATGGTATTGAAAACTTTTTAATGCTTAAAAATTCATATTCAATCTTAATTATAAAATTTAAAATTTAAAAAACAATATGGATCGAAGAAATTTATAAATCTTAAAAATAGATAACTTTTTATAAGATTTAGTATAACTTCAATTTTTTTTTCCCCTTATATCTATCCCTACATTTGGAGGTTGAGGTTGAGATGATGAGTTAGAAAGGTTTCTGACTTTGAAATACTCTTAACCTTGTAAAAACTTTTCTTCCTTCAATAAAGGCAAAAGAATAATAAGTGGGTAAATTTAGTGGGAGCGAGAGCGAGAGCGAGAGCGGGAGCTCTATGTTGGCTTGGGCAAGAGACTCAAGACTTAGGAGTAACGTGGTATTTTTGTAAAAAGTGAAGGAGAACCAACGTCTGTCGAAATGTCGATCAGCCAGTTCTAAGCCATTGCCTCTCTCAGCGCTAGTTCTAAACCATCGGCGCCCCCCCCTTCCCTCCCTCCCTCCCTCCCTCCCTCCCGGTTATATCAGAGCGGTTATATCAGAGTCGAAAAGATTCGAGCAATTTCTAACTCAGTAGATAGTAAGTAAGCTCTATCTCTCTTGCCATGGAGGTGTCCGTTTCCTCCTCCTTCTGTGTCGACAATCGTATTTTTTCTCAGAGGAAGAGCTTAATTGCTGGGCAGAAGCCATCCATAGGCAGCACTGCCAAAGCTACTCTCTCCTCTAATTTCATGCCTCCCTTTGTTGGGGGTAGCATCTCGGCGGACTTCTCAGGCCTCAAGATTCGCCCCCCTTCTCTTAAACCCTCTTCTTCGGGTTCTCGTGGTAAACGGGGAGTTGTAACAATGGTAAAGTCACTTCCTTTTCTCGCTAGAACTATTTGAGGTTTCTATTGCTTTATGCTCTTAGAAGAATGGGTACTTTCTGAACTTTGGGAACTGTGGTTTGTTTTGCTATGGTGATAGAGAATAATAGGATCTCCATGAATGGTTTTTTCCAACTAGGGTAAAGTGCTGCATATAATTTTTTTTTCTGATTATAATAAAAATGAATGATTTTTCAAGAAAAAAAACAAAGAATGACAATTAGCATGTTGAAACAATGGTCACTGCAAACTTAGTAAATGTTGGTTATTTCTTTTTGTTCACATTTGTTGCATTATCGTCACTTAGTGAGAGGATTGGATAATATTCCTCATGAGCTCATTTCTTCTGAGCTCATGAGGAAATGAAGAGTAGAAACAAAGCTGGTGTTGTCCTGGACGTAGAATGACTACGACCAAACTTGTTTTCTGAATAAAACCACTCTTAAGTTGAAGACATTGTTATCAGTCATGGTGTTTTTTTTGTTTCTTTGAGTGATTTATTTCCATACAAGTATTTCTATTTTCTTCAATTGAACCATCATGGGATGAAAACACCAACGATTTGGGTGTATCTAGTTGTTCTGTCATAATGTTGGTTAATTGTTATGTTTCTATTGGAATTTGCATCTACAGGTCATTCCATTTTTAAGAGGAAATGCATGGGAGCAGCCGCCTCCTGATCTAGCATCTTATTTGTACAAAAACCGGATCGTATATTTGGGCATGTCACTTGTACCATCTGTTACAGAGTTGATATTAGCAGAGTTTTTATACCTTCAATACGAGGATGCAGAGAAGCCAATATACATGTACATTAACTCCACTGGCACAACAAAGGTCAGGACGCATGGTTGCTTTTGTGTACATTAACTCCATGTGCAACAAGCTTAGCTCATGTTTCGGATTTAAAGTTTATTCAAGTGGTTTACTTTGCTTGATAGTGTCAGGATGACCAATTTACTCAATGTGGTTTTATCAATCGTAGATTAGGGCTCAAAGTTTACGTTCTATCGTTTTTTTTTTCATTTCAATCTTCTATGTTCAAAATGAGATTTGCAAAAGCTTCTGTAGTAGAAGAAAATAAAGACGCTTGCAATCCCTCAAATAGCTGCATCAACCACATAGAAGGATTCATGAGTTTGTTCATCTATATGAAGCTGTATAATAATAGTCAGGAGACCAAATATCTAAGTTGTCATGTCTTTCTCCATTTTATTGACTAAATATAAAATAAATTTTGTAACTATGATAACTAACTAGTAAGGGAAAAGAGTAATCAACCTACAGAGGGATCATTTCTACTGCCAAACATTACACATTCTCATTTCATGAATAGGATGCAAAATGGCCTCATGGAAGGCAAACAGTGAAACTGAAACTTTGGCTAGAGAAACTCTGGTGCCAATAGAAACTCTTCATCAACTTGCCTAAGTATTAGAGATTGCAAATTCTATTGGCTAACATTCTTCCTCAAGTACCTGGTTGTTTGAATAAAATGTAGCAAACTACATGGTAGAAAATGCTTATTTCATCATTTACACCATATTCAGGCACCTCATATCTTCTCTATTTTAAATTAATATACATGTAAATTAATTATAATGAAATTCTATAAGTGATATTTGTTGAATCTCTTCTGATGCGATAGGTTCACATTCATGTGATGATAGAGATTTTGCAAATGGTTCTATGTTGCTTTAATAGCCTTGAATGGGCCTATCCATGGCAATTGATATTCTGAATTAACAATACAAGCAACTATATCCTTGACTGAATAAAAACTTCAATCTGCATTTTTTCCAGGGAATGAGATATAATACAAATCAATTTCTTCTTTTACAGTTTTCCTGCATGCAAGATAAATAAAACTATATGGAGTTCCAATACCTCTAGAAGTTACACGTGTGAATTTTCTGCTGTAAACTGAAATCTATTTAATGATAAATTTCTGCGAAATGTTACCCAAAACTTTGTTTCCTGAAATTAGTTTGGAGTCTAGGGTTAGATATGCCTGATATTGATTTAAATGTTTCCTGTAAGGATAAGTGGAACATATATTTGTGACTTTTCTGGAGCTAATGGTTGTATGCATCAATAATGGTAAAATTTGTAATCTGCATAATTGGGATGCAGAGTACTAACGCGTTAATTTTGAACCCCGAATCTTGAAACAATCTTCATCTCCAGATCGTGGGGTTTTTCATTTCATGGCTTGATAAACTTGTATTAATTGAATAGGAAATAATTCTTATAGAAAAATGAGATCCTTTATATAATTGGATTCAAATATGCAGATAATGACTAAGATGTCCTTATGGGCAGTATAAAGTAAGTAAATAACGATTAATGCACGATGACAACATCGGAATCCTGTCCCTTTCAGGTGGGTAGAGAGACATACATGTTTTATTTTTTATTTTTACTAAATTTGGCATTCACTGAATCTGCTGATTCTGAGTAAACCAACTGAAAAAGGGCACCTTTTTTTTTTTTGAAATTATTTGATAAAGGCCAGTCTGACTGGCCCCTTACTTGGCCTCTCAATCTCCTTTTTTGTTTATTATTCATATCTTGTTGGACCAGCCAGTTTCGCCAGGGCTGAGTCATACTGGCTAATCTATCTGGTTTTGTCAATGGTAAATATTTATCAATATAAGTTATATATTCACCATGTATAAGTACTAGATGAAAGCACAAAAAAATTAATTGCATTTGAAAATTCTTTACCTAATAGCATTTCATCATCATCAGAGCCTAATCCCAACAATTTGAGCTCGGTACACAAATCTTGGTCCGCCATTCTGCTCTATCAAGTGTCATACCCTCATTGAGGTCATAAATCCCCATATCTTTTTACACTGCTTCCAACCATGTTATTTTGGGCTTACCCCTTGCCTGTTTTGAGCCTTCTATTTAAACCAACTTGCACCTCCTAATCAAAATTGTACTGGGTATACGCTGCAGATACCCAGCCTGCCTAAGTCTACTTTCTCTCATTTTATCTCTTATTGGAGCCACGCTTAAGTTCTCCCGAATGTATTCACTTTGAATTCTATCCCTTGTTGCCTTGCCACTCATCCATCTCAATTTCAACATCCTCATCTCAGCTACACTCATCCTACAGGTATGTTGTTTCTTGATCACCCCCCATTTCGCCCCATAAAGCAACGTTGGTCTCACTGTGCTGTAGAACTTTCCCTTCAGCTTCATTGGTATATGGTGATCATATAAAACTTTAGTTGCACATCTCCACTTCGCCTACCCAGCTCTAATTCTATTCGTGGCATCTTCTTCAATCTCTCAAATTTTTTGTATTATCCATCCAAGATATTGAAAATCCGCTCTTTTTGGTATTTATTGGCTGTCAATTTTAACTACTTCCTTGTCGTTACTCCAATTATTACTAAATTTGCATTCTATATACTGTTTTAGTCTAGCTAATTTTAAAACCTTTAGATTCTAGAGCATCTCTCCAAAGTTCTAACTTTGTGTTAATGCCGCTTCGGGTCTCATCGATAAAAACTATGTCGTCCACGAACCACATACACCATGGTACCTCATCTCGTAGGTGCCCAGTTAAGTCATTTATAACTAAGACAAAAAGGTATGGGCTCAACACTAACCCCTGATATAGACCTATTGTCACTGAAAAATCATTTGTCTCTCTTCTAGCTGTTCGCATACTAGTTAGTATATATCTCTCACTAAGTCAATATAGTATTTGGAGATTCCTTTCTTTTCCAACACCTACCAAATTGAATCTCGAGGTACTCTATCATAAGCTTTCTCTCAATCATCTAGAGGTCTTTACTTTTCATCATAAACTTCTCTATCAGTTGACTGAGTAGGAAAAGAACCTCAATTGTTGGCCTCCTGGCATAAAACCAAATTCTTTTCCTGATACACTCGTTTTATGCCTTAGTCATTGTTCAATCACTCTCTCTCACAACTTCATAGGGTAGCTCATAGTTATTCCCTAGATTGTTCGCACAATTTTGTACGTCTCTTTTATTCTTGTAAATTGATACTATAATACTTTTCCTCCATTCGTCTGTCATTTTCTTTGTTCTCAACACCTTGTTGAACAATTTGGTCAACCAATCAATGCCGATCTCTCCCATGCACTTCTAAACCTCTTGTCGGGATACCATCTGGTCCTAAAGCCTTTCCTATTTTCATCCTCTTCAAAGCTTCTAGCACTTTGCTCCCATTGTGTTTGTCATTTAATAATAGCACTTGTAATTGTCTAATAACTAAGATGCTGGGACACTGGGGTACGGATGTTGGCATGATATTGCAACAATACCGATCTTTGATACTTCTAGGATACTTGTAAATATAAAATATAAAAAGTATAATATGAATAAATATAAGGATATGATATGGTTTATACATTTTCTATGTATTATGCAGTTTATGATTATAATATGTAATCATTCAGTCAGACAGATTACTCCCATTCATATCCATGTCTTGGATTCAAGAAATATTGCGCTTCATGCCTGCTTCCTGTATTGTGCCAGTATCCATGTCCATATCTGTGCTGGTTAAACTAATTTATTAATTACAAATAAAAAATCTGTCCATTTTGTTGAAAATATCTTGCTTGGAATACTCAGTGTCTGCCTTTTTCCTTGGATTTCTAGATTTCTTGTTATACTCTGGGTTCTTCCTAGATTTTTTGATGACATAGATGCCACTTCTTATAAGTTTGTAATGGACTCATTTCATTTTTCCAGAATCTCCTAGTATATCAACCACTCTTATGTGATGTACTTTTGAAATAGGCTGAAGCAGGTTTAGGGAAGCTGCAATTTGGAAGAAGCTTTAGCTGGGCTGATTTAAATGATTTAAACTATGGTTTGTGATATGCTCATCAAAATTGATCTCAACCAAGTTATTGATAAAAGGAAGATAATTACAGTTTAAGTCGAATAACTGCCGCTTTTGAGATTCTGCTAGAAGTATAATACGTGAGTTCAAGATGATTCACAAATTTTGCATAATAGAAGTCTGGTTTCTCTCTTTGATGATACTATTCCCATATCTTAATTCTGGAGATATATAGTATTTTCTGCATAGATTACCAAATGTTGAATTTGAATCTTGATGATGTTAGGAGCTTCTTTTTTTTTTTTGATCGATAGATTGGGAATCTTCTTTTCTGCTTGGAACTGTTTAAGATGATTCTTATGGTAATTGGAAGAGAGAGATTCTTGCAAGGGTTTTTCTTTCTTCAAGATACTTACTTTCGGGATTGTGTATATTAAGTTCTAATTATTTGTCTAGCATCCTTCATTGTTCTCTGCTCACTTTTTTTAATGATTGTTGTAGTTCACAATTCTTAATCCTCCATTGTAGTTTTTCTTTCTTTCTTTTTATTTTTGATTTTTTGTTTTATTTTTTTATTGGTAAGCTTTGTTCTTATTACCATTTGAGCTTTCGGGATTCATCGTAAGTGCTAGTGCTTCCAAAATAATGATATGTTAAGGTCTTTCTTATTTTATCAGGGTGGGGAAAAGCTGGGTTATGAGACAGAGGCATTTGCAATATATGATATCATGAGGTCATCATAATTTCTTCCTGCTGTTTAAATATTCCTTTGTGCTTAATGGTTTTCTACATCTAGGTAGTCCATTCCTTTTGTAATATATTTCTTGTCATACTCTTTTCTTATAAATGAATGGTCCATGGAGCTGGGCCTAATAAACGTCAGTTGTAATACATATTATCATTGTCTAAGAACCTTTTCTTATAGACAAAAAATATTTCTTGAAAAACCCCAAACTTTGTACATGAGTGCAAAACCGTATTTGCCGAGCTCTTGGGGAATTTATATGTGGGCGAGTTGATTACCAGCCTTGATTTCCATCTAACAGAAATTATTTTAGCAATTTTCTGTCATGAAATTACATAATGCTCTCCGAGTACTTTTAGACTGAGCAAAAAGGGAGCTACTGTTCAATGGTGAGTTCAGCTTGCGAGGAGAAAAAAGAAGTTATTATTCAATGGTGAACATTCCCTTTTCTTTTTTCTTGTGGTGATGAGCAATCGGATTGGTAGACCTAAAGGTACTTTTTCTTGTGGTGGGTACAGATATGTAAAGCCACCTATTTTCACCCTCTGTGTGGGTAATGCGTGGGGAGAAGCGGCCTTGCTTTTAGCTGCTGGTGCAAAAGGAAATCGTGCTGCTTTGCCATCATCGACAATCATGATGAAGCAGGTTATTCTTCTGCAACCTTCCATGTGGTAATCTATTGTCATGGTGTTTTTTTGCCAGGGTCCGTCTATAAATTTCACATCTTCATGCACATATATGCTCTCGCACAGAGAGAGAGAGAGAGAGAGAGAGAGGTGTTTATCCACGTTTGGACATGCATTTAGGTGTTCATTGTGTGCGCACATGCACACGTGTATGGAAATATCATCGTTTTATGGGTTGCTTTCATATAAGTTGACCATGGTTCAGTGTGAGTGCATAAATATGCATGTGTGTGCATGAGAGAGAGAGAGAGAGGGAGACAGAGAGATTCATATCACGATTTTAAGGTTTTCAATACCTTTTCTAGCTTGTTTCTGGGTTCAAAGCTGCTCATGTGTTTTAGTAATGCTGCTAAAATGTGATACAATAAATTGGGTAATGATGAAGACAATTCTTTTCTAATACAACAATCTGAAATGCAGCCAATTGCAAGGTTTCAAGGTCAAGCAACCGATGTTGAGCTTGCCAGAAAAGAAGTTAAAAATGTGAAGGATGCGTTGGTGAGCAATCATATTTATTTTTCAAATAATCTTCTGCATGCCTTTGAAGATTTGCAGCTTTGAACCAATCATTTAGATGTCAATCCAGTGCTTGAACTGAACGGGGCAACCGGTGGCCAATCATGCACGATTACTTTGTGATAATAGCATAATAATGATTGGTTTTGTATTAAGCTTTCTCTTATTGAGCTTAATCTAGTTTTACTGATAGATATCTACTGTCATTTCCTTCAAGGTTACCCTATATGCGCGGCATATAGGAAAATCTCCAGAGCAGATTGAGCAAGATATCAGGCGCCCGAAATATTTCAGTCCCAGTGAAGCAGTTGAATATGGTATCATTGATAAGGTATTGTACTGAGTTGTGTATTGTTGACAAGGTATTGTACTGTGTTGGGTCTTAATTTTAAGTCCTTGAAAACTTTCGTTGTTGCAGGTTTTGTATAATGAAAGAGGCCGAGAAGATCGCGGAGTGGTGGCTGATCTGAAAACAGCCCGTCTTATATAATGGGCATGCTCCAACAAATTGTAAGAGTGCGTTCTTCTTATTTTTCTTCTCTATTTTATTGCTTAAATTGCAGTGTTAGGTTCATACATGCTTGAACATGTCAATGAATTCAAGCGGTAGCTGAATTATCTTTTATATCCTGGCTGTATTTATGGAAACAAGATGTCTTGAGCTGGTTCACCTCTCCTCTCTCTCATCCCTGTCATTAACACACAAATCCATGTATGATGCAGAGTTGTCAAGTGGTTAGGACTCTCATTGGCTTTCAGAGCATTTGGGCATTTCAGAAATTTTTGGGTTTTGGTGTGATTGAGACTACGGTTTGTGTGGGCGATGACAACCAGGTCATACGAGGTGCAACTTTTAAAACTTTCAGCAAAAAGAATGGACACATTTTATCGCCCGTCTGACTCCATTGTCTTAATACATGACAGTAATGAAATTTTGACACAGGAAACTAGACTGAAAAATACAAATGAGAAACAAACCTTGGCTCAAGAGAAGCTACTGCCACATCCTCAATAGGTGCACCAAAAAAGAAAAATTTGCGTGAGAAAGTGCACATCAGAGATCCCCAGGATGACCCCTTACGACAATGTACACTCCATCTAATCTCCCCAGATCGATAACACATCCTCTAGAGAGATCGATAACACATCCTCTAGATTGCAAGTTCCATTCTTCTAGGTTTTGGGTGAAAAAGTCCTACGTAAGACATTCCAAGTTGATGACTCTTTTTTCCCTTCGGATCTCTAACAAAAAGCTGATCGGAAGAATACTCAATGTCACCTCCTCTCTCGGGCCCAAACTCTTTAGGAAGATTATATATCTCTTTGTTTTAGTGTAAAGAAACCAATGGAGTTGCAGGTTGAAGGCCATGTTCCTCTTATCTACTTGGACTCTTAAACAGTGATGTGGAAGAAAACTCTAAACTACTCTCTTTCCTCCAACCCAAAAACCTTGTAAAAGTCATGTGCTCCTCTCTCTTTATGTTTGAAAACCTCTTGAGAACCTAGCCCTTAGGCCCTCCACATGATTGCTCAGAGAACCCTATATATAGCACATAAAGGAGTGAGCTATTTTATATATGTAGTAGTAGTGGTATAGTGGATGTAAAATGAACTTGCTTTCTAATTCTAATGGGATATTTTGGTATGAGAGGGTCAATCCTAGTCATTCATCATGTGCCCTGTCATCATAAATCAAGGGTAGGGAACACATTTTGAAGATCATCCACCATGTTTGAGTCCATGGGGCCAGGTTGGTGAATGGATCAAACTATTGGCCCATGTTCACAAACCTGTCCCACATTAAAGGCCCCACAACTCTCTCCATGATCTCTTAAACTTTTTGCCATGCAAACAAGTTAATAAATCCAAATGACTCACTATATAAACAAAACTTTTATTCCAAACATAACCTCTGGTTAAACATAAAACCACTACACAACATTTAGGTAACTAAATGTCTAAATACAAAATCACTACACAATATACTGGTGGTTAAATAACAAATAACAGCTATTTTTATTTTCCTTTATAGACTTTTTGAAACCCTCTTAAGAAAACCTTATAAGAGTATGCTAGCACTGAACCTCGATCCTACGTGGTGCTTTCAAACTACCCTATGACTCCATTCAAGACCTTAAACTATTCCTAGGGGCCCATGGTCCCATGTTTCTTCATGTAAGGAGCTAGCCAAGGCATAGAAAAGCCATAGATAGCCATTGATTGCAAGTGCTTTCCCCAAGGACAAGTTTAGGGTCCACTGCAGATATTAACCATTGCATAGGGCTGGGCCAGCTTCCGCCTTTCGGGGAGCATCTCTCAGGTGTGTGCGTACCGATCCATGTTGCTTGTTGGCTTTCGAGCCTACGCTTGCTGGCTTTGAAAAGACTGGGAGCTCATGTCAAGGCTTTCAAGCATCACAAGCTTCCATCCTAACACCTAGGAAGCTATTTCATCTTGTGGCCAAATGACGTTCACCACCAAGCTATGCTGACCTTGATAGGGTACCCATAAGCCCTCGTTGGCAATGCACATCATAGGGATCAAGCCTATCCCGCCGGAGCTAAGGGTCCACCCATCTAGCCAAGGCCTAGTTGCATGTCAAAGCCAGAGTGATAGAGCCCACTGCATCCTAGATAGAGACAACATTAACTAGCTCAAATGACGTTTTATCCAAGTGGATTTTGTTCATGCCCCACTGTAATGAGCTTGTTTCATCAAAGTGCAGCGCATATATCCTAGAGGAATCATTCATGTAGCGTAGGCTCATATCACTTGTTTCATCCATGTGAGTCCAACATTCCAACTCATTTTTTGAATGTTCTGAAATATAAAAGCCTGTGTAAATAAAAATCTCTTCGCCTCTTTCATTCATGGAGTCTTCTCACATGGCTGCTTTCATCAATGGAGGTGGTACTCATCGCTTTAATGATCCGTTTTACCCAAGTAGAGCCACACTCACGAGTAAAAATAAAATAAAATAATAATTAAATAAAAAATAATGTGTCAGCTGAAATCTAATTACCCAGTATCTAGGCTTTTAAGGGCCACAAAACCCAACGGTTAATGGTTTATATAAACTCTTTTTGTTATTATGTCTAGGCAGGTTTGAATGTAAACTGGGTGAGATGTGTGGCTCAAAAAGATTTTTAGGTCTGAAAGAGCCCAGATGTGAACTATTTGCTGAGAGAACTTTGTCAAATTTAATCATTTATGTGAAGATCATTGTTAATTTTCTCTTTTTCTTTGAGGATTTTGAAATATGCAGAGAAGTTGTTTGAAAATATTGCCAAATATGATATGCACACGTGATCAATTAGGTTTTAATAAGATGAAAGGGAAAATGATGGAAGTGTAAATAAGGTTTCATTAAAGAGTTGGGGGAGTAAATAAACGGATAATTGAAGGTGCGTAGTTTGTCCTATGTAGCTTAAATCGGGCTCTTTGGAAAGCAACAGCCAAATTAATAAAATAGAGTATCATGAATAAATTATTTGACTTAGATTTCCTAAAAGAGTCATAGAGTATTATGATAACTAGAAGAAGCATGCAAGCATTGTAAAAGTGATCAGTATCTACAAACTTTTTAGGCACCTCTAAATTTTGTTAGAGGAAATATTTATTGTGAGACCATTTACTTTTGGGAAAGTTACAAAAGTATCCGTTTTATTTTCCGGTATTACAAAAATATCAAATAGTTTCCGTTATTATTTATATGTCCGTTTTTAGAATTGCATAACAATTTTTTTTAAAGAAAGTCCGTTTTACCCATTTTTGGATTTTCAAAAACCGAAATAGAGGCATGATTTCGGTTTTTGAAACACCTAATTTAGATTTTTCTTTTGCGAACCACCCTCCATCTTCCATTCCCCTAGGATGTAAGTGCAAATGTTGGGTTTTTTTTCTCTGCTATGTGAGAGCAAAGGTTAACACTCAGTTTTGCTTGAAGAATGTTAGGGTTTTTGGTAAACATGACAGAAGATTTAGCTTCTCTGTTCCCACCCTCCCCAATCTCAGAGATGGGTTTGTTTTCCCTTCTTCGTTTGGATTGAATAAGCTCGCTTTCCTCTCCCGTTTTGTTAAAAGACAGTTTATATCAGGATGCAACCATGTAGAACTACGGATGCACCTCAAAAATCCATTGGAAAAGGTAGTTTTAATGTTGTAAAAATCCATAGGAAAAGGTAGTTTTAATGTTGAAAAACCCTTTAATTGATTGAGATGTATGACCATGAAAAATAAAAAGATTTTAAGTCTTAGAAATAGTGCATTTTACAACATATTACCTATACTGTCCATTTTCAAGATTATCATGTGTTTACAGACTTAATTGATTTTAATCATATTTTTGAAATTTAAAATTTTATAATTAGATATAAAAAAGATTTTAAGATAATCCTAAGAACATTTTACATCAAAATTATATACCACAACCATAATAAAATTTGATTTAATGGTGCACCCTACCTCTACAGCTTTGGATGCATCCGTATGCCAACTGCACCCTTTGTTTGAAGGTTGGATTTCTGTCATTTGCTATTGTGACGCTAAACAAAAGATTGAGCTTCTCTCTCTTCCATTTACACCAATGGTACCAAAGCTAAGCGCAACGCTTTTCTAAATTGATTCCACAGATGGAGCGCAAACAGTTGGGGTAAAGGAGAAGCTGTTTTCGCTTTCGTGGGGTGAACATAGGCACAGACAGTCTCCGACCTCCTCTTCCCTGTCTTTTCTATCCGCACATTTGCAGGAACACCCACCGCAGAACCACTCTCTCAGAAGAAAACTAAAAAATACCTCCCACGCTCTCTAAACAGAAAACCTAAACTCTCTCACCCTCTCTCTCTCTAAAACGTAAAGATTTTAGACATGACCTTTTTCCAATACTCTCTTTCTCTCTCTAAGAAAACCTAAAAAACGTACATAGAAACTTAACCCTTGCTCGACTCCAATACTCTCTCTCTCCCTCGAACATATACTCTTTTTGATTTTATATAAAAACTCTTTTTAATAATAAATCTAGAAAAAATTTGCTAAAATTGTCAGTCCTAGGTCGCATTGAGTGCAAAAACTTTCAAGACCTAAAAAACGTGTAAAAAAATTACGGAAAATGTAATTTTCTTTACCTTCAAAAAGAGCGATTCAAATTCTTCAAGCTCTAGGAATGCCCAAGTGAGGCTGAAGTCCTCTCTCAAAATGCTGGGGTGAAGAGGAGGCTGAAGTCCTCTCTCAAAATGCTGGAGTGAAGAGGAGAGAGAGTTTAAATATATATATATATATATATATATATATATATATAATTGGTTGGTCAAAAACCGAATTTAAAAAATTTGGTTATTGAAAAACTGAAAATTAAAAAAACTTACGGTTTTACAAAAACTGAAAATAGGCTTGTTTTGTTCCTTTTTTTTTTATTTTAAAAAGCGTTATAAAGTTGAAAATTGGACATTTATGTAATAACAGAAACATTTAGGTATTTTTGTAATAACAGATATTTATATAATTTTTCCATTTACTTTTTGATACAAGGAGGTTAGAATTATTATTGACCATTAGATTTGAAATAATGTAGCTGAGGATGTATCATTGTTTGGGCACAATATCTAAAATAAAATTTCTCGAATGTTGTGACACACTTCAATCTATTGAACTTCACATCTAATGGTTAAAAATGATTGTGGCTTCCTTGTACTAAAAACAATAGTCTTATAGTATACAATTCCATATTTAATATGGGTTGTTTGTATAAGGTGCCTTCCTTTTACTACAGAAGCAAGGTACAACTGTAAATTTGGTCTGGAGATGTAGTTCAGGTGTTAGAAATATTATGATGGCTTGAAAATTTATTTTCTCTAGTTATAAAATTTAAAAACTAGTATATATTGAGCATATCTATAAACATTTAAACAAATCTTAAAAATAGACGATGCAAATATTTTGTTAGTTTTTAGTATTTATTTTTCATTTTATTTTATTTTCAAATCCATTTATCTTGAGGTCGATATGATCAAATTGAAGGACTCTCCGGCATCTGAACACTCATCTAAAGGATTTTTTATGTACAACCCTCTTCTACAATATAAAGACATCTTATATAAACTTTTTCTATAAATTATGATTAATGTGAATTGGAAGCGGTCATAATTTTCAAGCGGTCATAATTATATAAACTTTGACAGGCCTGTGAAGCCCCACAAAACCACGGTAGCACAGTTTGAAGTCTCATCCTCGGACTGCTGTTTTTTTCAAAAAATAAAAAATAAAGCATGATCTGAAGATGGGGACCTCGGACCCCCTTGGAACTGAGTTCTGTTCAGTCTGAAGAGCGTTTTGTGAGGGAATTAACGAACGCGACTTGCATCCGTTAGTGGCATCTCACTCTCTGGAGGGAATGAAGAAAGGCAACTCGCATCGCGCCTGCCACGCCATCTCACTGTCTCACTCATTATATACAAAATGAACTGGCAACTGCTGAAAAATTTTCGTGTAATCCTATCAATTTTACTTGGGAACAATTTTGATACGGGGTTACAACGGTCGGAGGTTCCCATGACCCCGTTTTATTCTTTATTTTTTATTGAGTAAATAGCATTTTGACAAAGGTAGTATGAGGACTGTCATTAAAACCTGAGGCACTACCCTACTAATGAAAAAAGTAAAAAATAAAAAAAAAATAAAATTAAAATGCGATCCGTGTTTGGAATCCTTGAACCAAAGGACAAATTTGAAATTGATAACAAAACATGAGTTGACTGTCCTCATTTGTAATTTTTATCTATAATCAAATATTTTGTATTTTAAGTAATTATTTTAAGCCCATAAGTAATTCTTTTTTTTTTTTTAGTGTTATGTTAGGGTGCTGACATAATTTATCATTGTACTCAACAATTTTTAGAAACTTTTGTACCATTGTTTTGTACATGGAGTATTTTTTTTAATAAAGGTATTTTTGGTTATTAGTAGGGGTGTGGCGTCATCTACATGAAATGTGACATCACCCGCATAGAGCACATTAGTAGCATTCAATTTTCCATATGGGTGATGTCATACTTCATGTAGATGACATACCCCTCCTAATGACAAAAAATACTCTTATTAAAAAAAATGCTCCATGTACAAAACAATGGTATAGAAGTGTCTAAATTTGTTGAGTATAATGATAAATTACTCCACAATATGAACACGTTAACATAAATTTTTTTGTTTTTTTTGTTTTTTTTACCTATATATCTCAAGGTCAAAGGTTCAATTCAAGAGTTCAACATATTTCCATACATATATATATATATATATACAAACCATATGTCCATGTACATGTATATACATGCCCACATTCTCATGCTTCTGCAGTTACACATGCATAAATATTTCGAGTGAAACCTGTCCACCGTTGAAGACAGTTGGTCTTGAAATTGGACTTCCTAAACCTTGGATAGAGCTTTCAACTTTTTCTTACTGGACACTTGTGCTAGGTTTTTATGGTTGGGGATGATGAGGATGATTGCAAATGAGCTTGTTGGGAGTCATGATTTGAAATGCTGAATTCAAAACCTTTCCCTCCCAAGGGTCAAATTGGGCCACTTGGGCTTTTAAGTACCCTACACATTGTTGAGATAGCATGCAGTGGCCACCCTTTGTTGTTCCCACTAAATGACAACTGTCCATTTACTTAAAAAGTTATATATAGTAGGTGCTGAGTTTCTCTTTTTGGTAAAGGATGAAGCTTTTCCCCCCAAAAGTCAGATATCCTCTCAAACCTTTTAGAGTTAGAAATTAAGAGGATTTGTCTTGTTTTGGTCCCATAGCAAAAAGTTTCCATTCCAATATAGAGCATGAATGGGCATATGCAAATACAAGTACCTACCACCTTAACACGCGTGCTATTAGGGAATAGGAATTTTATATAAAGATAACTTTTTTTTTGTATAAGGAGTTCACAATTATTTGTACTCATTAGATAACAAATTGGATGGTTTAAGTTGAATCACAAAGTTCGATATATTTTTTTTAATTTTTTTTAATCTATTTAATGACATTGTTACAACCACCCAACTTAAAATCTAAAAGATACGAGTGATTGTGACCTTCTTGTACAAAAAGTAAACGGTATCTTTGTATACTTTTTTTGAAAAATATGCATTTAAATCCGTGAACGGTGGATAAATATAAATGGAGTGACCGACGCATAAGAGAACACAAACACCTATTTTTGATGCATATGATCTTTTGGGATTGTATATGATGGGACTATTTACCTGTTGTAAAAAGAGGTCACAATCAATTATAACCATCCGATGTGAAATTTAATAGTTTTGAGTGCGTCACAATGTTCGAGAAAATTTATTTTGAACTTTGAGTTTGATCAATAAAATAAATGCAGTTACCCAATTTTACATCCAAAGGTCATGAATAATTATCTTATACAAAAGTAAATTGTCTCATTGCATTTTTTTTTTATCTTTATTACTTTCAAAATCAATTTATAGAAAAAAATAATATGGAGCTAACAAGGGAAATGATTCGTTGCTAAAAAATGCTCCAAATTAGCACCTCACAAAAAACAGATTTTGAACCAATATCAGTTTTAAAGATGAGCAGATCTACGGTTTTAAGAGCTACTACGTGAGGACATGTGATGATAGTGGACAGCTAGACCACCTAATATGGATACAAAATAGGAAAAAGCTTTATAGCTTCACCTTAAAACTCACCCAAAATTATAGTTCTAGATCCTCAATCATTATGGTTGTGAAAAAACTTCAAGTTCTAAAAATAATGTATATTATAATACATTATTTTGACCATTTATTTTTAAATATTGACGGATCTACAAGATTTGTACTATTTTTTGAGCTATAAATTTCATAATCAATGGTGAAATAGATTTAGAGCAATCATAAGAATTTCCTATGCTTGAATTGTTTTTTAGACAATATTTCAAAGTGAGTGAGGCCTTACTTTTTTCTATAAGGCCTAGGCCTTATATAAACTGCATCCCAAAAAATAAATATATTTGTATTATGCCTGAAGATATCGATAGGCTGAGAAAATGGTGTACCACTTTAATAAGGGTGGCATTAGGTTGGACTTGGGCCCGGCTAGAGCTCAACAAAGCCTAGGCCTAGACTGAACGGCAAGGGCCCTGGGCCAGGCTATTGGCTTGGTAGCGGGGCCAATCCCTACTAATGGTTCTGGACAGGCCTATTACAAATTAACATTTTTTAAATACATTAAAGAAAAAGAAAAGGTTGCATCGATCAGATAGTGCCAAAGGGCCCTAGAGCAGGTCTGACTTGGGTCAGGTATCGGGCCAAGATTTCAGGCCCTAGCCCGGCCCTAAGGCCAACTCATTTGAGGCTAAAAATTACATCTTATAATAAAACTTGGAGGTGGTTCTTATTTTGATAGTTCAAAATTGCAACCTTATACGAATTGTACTTTTATAGAAGGGTGAGGTTTGACAATGCACACGTTCAAATAGTGTTGAGAAATATGGTTTCATATTTGAAATCTTTGTGATAGCCTTAAAATATATTTTTATTTCTAATTATAAAATTTAAAGCTTAAAAAATAGTATAGATTGAGCAGATTTATGAAAATTTGAAAAATTTCAAAGTTGACGACCAAAAATGCATTACAAGATGCATTATTTTTAAGACTTAAAATCCATTTTTGTTCTCATGTCTATGCAAACTTAAGGTTGAAAGTGCATCCTAATTTGATTGTTTAGAGCCTCGCTCTTATATAAAAACAAAATATTTTTTACTACACACATATATATATATATATATATATAAAAAGCTAACAAACACTTAGTAGCTATAATGAATAGTAACATAGGTGGAGTCTCCAGCCGTCAGATCTTCATCATGTGGTTTAAAATACATATCATTATCTTAATTTTAATCTTTTTTAAAAAATTAAACCGTAATGGAATTTGTTTAAGTACAAACATATGCAAGATCACTCGTTCAAGTACATCTACATCTCCTGATATAAAAATGTAATGCATTCTTGTGCATATAGGACAAGCATATTGGTATTGGTATGCCATGCCTGATAGATTGACATGCACGTTAGTGCATCATGACATGTATGTGATGCAAGCAAACGCGTTTGCTAAATGGCAACAAGGGGGAGCTGCACTTGTATCTCGAAATGAACAATAATGGCATATTAGTGTGTGTAAAATGTGGGGTGAACATTATATTAGATAATGTTGAAAAAAGCACATCATATTATAGTCAAGATATGAGAGAGATTGCGTTTGCTCCTAACTTTACAACTAGAAAGTTTAAATAACTGAAACTCTGCTTCTTTTTCAATAGGGTTCAAGAGAGAGAAAGGGAGGGTGTTTTGATACGGGTCATCAGTCCTAAATGTATTTTCTGCGCACCCAACAAGTGGTGAATGCTCACTCACCAACCCAACACCAAGCTCAAAATGTTAACCACTACCCGACGGCTTTGACTCTTAGAAGACTCCATTTTCCTTTTAGGGGAGAGAACAAAATAAAGCTTCACTTCAAATCCACTTTTGATACCGGAAATTTACGTGATGGCTGTAAAATCAATTTCCATCACTGACAATAAAATTTGATATTAAAAAAGCGGTATAGATTTTTCGAATCTATGAATACTTATTTTTAGGGTAAATTGCTACAATATATATACTTTTTTAAAGCTTGAAAACCTTTTTTTTTTTTTTTTACTAAGATAATGTTCAAGCCAAGATGATGAACGTAAAAGTTTTGTAATGCTTGAATTACGAATTTAGATAAGTTATGAGGTGAGGCTTTATTATTTTGATAGGGCAGCAACCCCTGTCGAACTATTTTCCTTTAGGTATTTAAAAAGCAAGACTAGTAGGGTGGACTTTCAAAGGAATTAATGAGACCTGTATAGCCACTTGTTTCTGAAAATGAAAATGATGAGAGAGAGAGAGAGAGAAAGAAATGAGAGAGACCCAAATGAGTTAGGCATGACGCACTCAAATGCGAGGCGTCGTGGATTACTCCCAGAAGTGGCCGCCTCCGTCCAGTTAGTTTTGTTTCATCCATCGGCCCACTCTCTCTCTCTAGATTGCACTATAAATATGGTACGAAGGAGGCCGTCCTTCTCATCGCAAAGACAAAGACTCTCTTCCGTCCTCATTTATTACTTAACCGCTTGAATACTTAAAACTTAGTTTCTCTTTGGTCGTGTTGGGTTCATGAGAATGGGTCTCTCACCTTATTACCCTACCATCATGGCTCTCCTCCTTGCGTTACCTACGTGCTCTCTCTCTCAAGACGCCTCGGCCTCCGCCTCCGCCTCCGCCTTTGTGTGCTCTAGGGCCACCTTCTACGGGAGCCCAGACTGCCTTGGAACCCCAAGTATCTCTCTTTCTCTTCACCTACAAATCATCATCACTCTCGTTTCGAGCTTGCATGTACGATTAGACATGTAATCTCTTATTTTTTATAGAATAAGGGATTCATGATTTGTTCTCTCTCTATAGCATGTATGCATCCGTAGCCATACAAGTTATGAGTCTCTCCATAAACAATGCATGTGCAACTACATTTGCACTCTATTTTTTTTTTTGTAAAAAAGATTGTATGCTATGATACTATTTATCATTGTCACAACCAATCCTTGTCAATAGATTTCAAATTGGATGGTTTGAGATAGTCATGAAGTTCGAGATTTTTTTTTTTAAACTTTAAGTCGAGTCAATGAAACATACACACTTAAAATTAGAAGGACAAGAGTGATTGTGGCCTACTTGTACTAAAAGTGTAAGTGGCCTCTTTGTATATCTTGTCTTTTATTGTTTCCTTTAAAAATATATGCAAAGGCAAAGATTATAGTGAATTGATGAAACAGGTGGAGCTTGTGGGTTTGGAGAATTCGGTCGAAGAATTAATGGAGGCGATGTTGGGGGGGTTGCTAAGCTCTACAAGAATGGCACTGGTTGTGGAGCTTGCTACCAGGTACTAACCTCTCTATAAACACACATGCTCTTTCTCTGGACTCAAATTTATTCAAACACATACAGTTAATTTTTCTATAAAGCTTCAAAAAGGAAAAGATTTTTAGTCTTCAAAATATTACATTTTGTGATAAAATTATTTGGATAGTCCATTTTCAATATTTTTAAAGGTTTATGGTTTTTGCTCGATCTGTATCAAGTTTACGTGTTTCAATTGCTTTTAGTTAATTAAGAGTGGAACTAGATTTTGATGCCCTTTACAACATCAAATTTGTATCTTTTGAAAATGCCTTTTTATTTTAAGGGATTGTATACCATGATATCATTTACCATTGCTAGACGGAAGCACTCCTAATCATTAGATGTCAAATTGGATGTTAGGAGTCGCAACGTTTATTTATTTATTTATTTTTTTTGAAACTTTGCGTCTAGTTAATGACACGCTAACAACCACGTGATTTAAAATCTAATAGATAGGAGCAATTCAAACATCATTTTACTTGAAATAAATGGTCTCTTTGTATACTTTTCCTAATTTAATTGTTTTAAGTTGATGCCAGGTATAAATCGCACCCCTCAAGCTTCCCGCTTTGTTAATTAACATATGTTAGTGACCAAAACGATCTTGGAGTGACTCGTTAAATTAATAAAATATTTGAACTCAAGTTTTGGAGGTACAATGGTCCCAAATTCACACTAATGGAACTGTCTTGGTGTTTGAACTCTCTCTCTCTCTCACTCTCTCTCTCTCTCTTCATCCTTTTATAATTAGGAGACCTCCCTCTCTCATTTCATGTTTTAATCAGCAGACTTGAATAGCAAAACAAAAGGCAAAAAAATCGAAGTGCTACAATGCATCATCGTTTCAAACTTTTGAAATGATAGTTTAGTTAGATGTAAAGAAGGTTCGACTTAATATGTATTTATGTTACCATGTTAATATGTTACGTAGCATGGACAATTCTCTCTCTTGAATGATTGATTGGTGGGTGGAAATAGGTGAGGTGCACCCAACCCCAAGTTTGCAACCCCTATGGTTTGACAATTGTGGTGACGGACTACGGTGAGGGTGACCACACAGATTTCATCCTCAGCACAAGTGCCTACTCCAAGTTGGCACTTCCTAACATGGCCCTTGAGCTCATGGCTTATGGTGTAGTAGATATCGAATACAGGAGGTAAAAAACAGAGTCCCTCTCTCTCTCTC